TATCGGTAGTGTATAGACGAAGTCTCCGTGGTATTCAGACGAAGTGTCTTTGGTATTTAGACGAAGTGTCTGTGGTATATAGACGAAGTGCCTGTGGTATATTGATGAAGTGTCGGTGGTATATTGAAGTGTCGGTAGTGTACAGACGAAGTGTCTTTGGTATTTAGACGAAGTGTCTTTGGTATATAGACGAAGTGACTGTGTTATATCAAGATTCTTTGTAAAAAATGCAAATACTTGTCACAATTATTGCAATATTCCACTATAAAGCATTGTTATCAAACATAGGTACGTTATACACCTTTGGAGAAATTATTTTTGGCTTCAATATATACGATAACGTGTTTTATCTACAAAAGGTAAATAGGAACTGTATTTAATCTGTGATGTCTCCGAATTAGATACTCTGTCTATCTTAAGCATTCTTCACAGAACGCAACACATCAGACTATGTGTTTACTTTATATCCGAACATTCACGGAGGAAATTCAAGTAGTCGCCAATATGATATTTTATTGCCGTTTAGTGCAAAAACAAATAAAGGGAGACCAGATGATAAGTTGGCTTTGAATTGTAAAACTAGAAAGCAGTCTGATGAATCTTTGTCGAGAATCAATTCGCTGCGTCAGCACTATTTATTTCCTACCTTGCTGACTTTATCACCGCTAAATATTCCACCTCCGTTCACAACAAAAGCAGCCACATTGATCTGTCTTGTTTTTTTTTTCTTCCTTGAATTTAATTATACGCGACTCTCGACGGTTTATAAAGGCCATTGGCCCAGTGCTCTTTATAAAACGTCGAGAGAGTCGTTTATAATGTTGACAGCATCGTGACGTCATATTCTACAATAATTCCTCTTCGTATGCCGAATATCTCTGAAAGGGAAAAATCCTTTAGAGGGTATCATATTGGTAATGATGACAATTACTACTGTGATGGTTATCACACTTTGTAGTAGAAGTAAGTATTGATGTTGGAGGAGGACGACGTCGAGGTGTAAATGATGAGTATGTGATGTTCCCTATAATTATTACATATTTCAGTATGTATTTACGGAGGAGGACGACGTCGAGGTGTAAATGATGAGTATGTGATGTTCCCTATAATTATTACATATTTCAGTATGTATTTACGGTGGAGGAGGACGACGTCGAGGTGTAAATGATGAGTATGTGATGTTCCCTATAATTATTACATATTTCAGTATGTATTTACGGAGGAGGACGACGTCGAGGTGTAAATGATGAGTATGTGATGTTCCCTATAATTATTACATATTTCAGTATGTATTTACGGTGGAGGAGGACGACGTCGAGGTGTAAATGATGAGTATGTGATGTTCCCTATAATTATTACATATTTCAGTATGTATTTACGGTGGAGGAGGACGACGTCGAGGTGTAAATGATGAGTATGTGATGTTACCTATAATTATTACATATTTCAGTATGTATTTACGGTGGAGGAGGACGACGTCGAGGTGTAAATGATGAGTATGTGATGTTCCCTATAATTATTACATATTTCAGTATGTATTTACGGAGGAGGACGACGTCGAGGTGTAAATGATGAGTATGTGATGTTCCCTATAATTATTACATATTTCAGTATGTATTTACGGAGGAGGACGACGTCGAGGTGTAAATGATGAGTATGTGATGTTCCCTATAATTATTACATATTTCAGTATGTATTTACGGAGGAGGACGACGTCGAGGTGTAAATGATGAGTATGTGATGTTACCTATAATTATTACATATTTCAGTATGTATTTACGGAGGAGGACGACGTCGAGGTGTAAATGATGAGTATGTGATGTTCCCTATAATTATTACATATTTCAGTATGTATTTACGGAGGAGGACGACGTCGAGGTGTAAATGATGAGTATGTGATGTTACCTATAATTATTACATATTTCAGTATGTATTTACGGAGGAGGACGACGTCGAGGTGTAAATGATGAGTATGTGATGTTCCCTATAATTATTACATATTTCAGTATGTATTTACGGTGGAGGAGGACGACGTCGAGGTGTAAATGATGAGTATGTGATGTTCCCTATAATTATTACATATTTCAGTATGTATTTACGGAGGAGGACGACGTCGAGGTGTAAATGATGAGTATGTGATGTTCCCTATAATTATTACATATTTCAGTATGTATTTACGGAGGAGGACGACGTCGAGGTGTAAATGATGAGTATGTGATGTTACCTATAATTATTACATATTTCAGTATGTATTTACGGAGGAGGACGACGTCGAGGTGTAAATGATGAGTATGTGATGTTCCCTATAATTATTACATATTTCAGTATGTATTTACGGTGGAGGAGGACGACGTCGAGGTGTAAATGATGAGTATGTGATGTTCCCTATAATTATTACATATTTCAGTATGTATTTACGGAGGAGGACGACGTCGAGGTGTAAATGATGAGTATGTGATGTTCCCTATAATTATTACATATTTCAGTATGTATTTACGGTGGAGGAGGACGACGTCGAGGTGTAAATGATGAGTATGTGATGTTCCCTATAATTATTACATATTTCAGTATGTATTTACGGTGGAGGAGGACGACGTCGAGGTGTAAATGATGAGTATGTGATGTTCCCTATAATTATTACATATTTCAGTATGTATTTACGGTGGAGGAGGACGACGTCGAGGTGTAAATGATGAGTATGTGATGTTCCCTATAATTATTACATATTTCAGTATGTATTTACGGTGGAGGAGGACGACGTCGAGGTGTAAATGATGAGTATGTGATGTTCCCTATAATTATTACATATTTCAGTATGTATTTACGGTGGAGGAGGACGACGTCGAGGTGTAAATGATGAGTATGTGATGTTCCCTATAATTATTACATATTTCAGTATGTATTTACGGTGGAGGAGGACGACGTCGAGGTGTAAATGATGAGTATGTGATGTTCCCTATAATTATTACATATTTCAGTATGTATTTACGGTGGAGGAGGACGACGTCGAGGTGTAAATGATGAGTATGTGATGTTCCCTATAATTATTACATATTTCAGTATGTATTTACGGTGGAGGAGGACGACGTCGAGGTGTAAATGATGAGTATGTGATGTTACCTATAATTATTACATATTTCAGTATGTATTTACGGTGGAGGAGGACGACGTCGAGGTGTAAATGATGAGTATGTGATGTTCCCTATAATTATTACATATTTCAGTATGTATTTACGGAGGAGGACGACGTCGAGGTGTAAATGATGAGTATGTGATGTTACCTATAATTATTACATATTTCAGTATGTATTTACGGAGGAGGACGACGTCGAGGTGTAAATGATGAGTATGTGATGTTACCTATAATTATTACATATTTCAGTATGTATTTACGGAGGAGGACGACGTCGAGGTGTAAATGATGAGTATGTGATGTTCCCTATAATTATTACATATTTCAGTATGTATTTACGGAGGAGGACGACGTCGAGGTGTAAATGATGAGTATGTGATGTTACCTATAATTATTACATATTTCAGTATGTATTTACGGTGGAGGAGGACGACGTCGAGGTGTAAATGATGAGTATGTGATGTTACCTATAATTATTACATATTTCAGTATGTATTTACGGTGGAGGAGGACGACGTCGAGGTGTAAATGATGAGTATGTGATGTTACCTATAATTATTACATATTTCAGTATGTATTTACGGAGGAGGACGACGTCGAGGTGTAAATGATGAGTATGTGATGTTACCTATAATTATTACATATTTCAGTATGTATTTACGGAGGAGGACGACGTCGAGGTGTAAATGATGAGTATGTGATGTTACCTATAATTATTACATATTTCAGTATGTATTTACGGAGGAGGACGACGTCGAGGTGTAAATGATGAGTATGTGATGTTACCTATAATTATTACATATTTCAGTATGTATTTACGGAGGAGGACGACGTCGAGGTGTAAATGATGAGTATGTGATGTTACCTATAATTATTACATATTTCAGTATGTATTTACGGAGGAGGACGACGTCGAGGTGTAAATGATGAGTATGTGATGTTACCTATAATTATTACATATTTCAGTATGTATTTACGGTGGAGGAGGACGACGTCGAGGTGTAAATGATGAGTATGTGATGTTACCTATAATTATTACATATTTCAGTATGTATTTACGGTGGAGGACGACGTCGAGGTGTAAATGATGAATATGTGATGTTCCCTATAATTATTACATATTTCAGTATGTATTTACGGTGGAGGAGGACGACGTCGAGGTGTAAATGATGAGTATGTGATGTTCCCTATAATTATTACATATTTCAGTATGTATTTACGGTGGAGGAGGACGACGTGTAAATGATGGTGTAAATGATGACATGTGATGTTGTTCCCTATAATTATTACATATTTCAGTATGTATTTACGGAGGAGGACGACGTCGAGGTGTAAATGATGAGTATGTGATGTTCCCTATAATTATTACATATTTCAGTATGTATTTACGGAGGAGGAGGACGACGTCGAGGTGTAAATGATGAGTATGTGATGTTCCCTATAATTATTACATATTTCAGTATGTATTTACGGTGGAGGAGGACGACGTCGAGGTGTAAATGATGAGTATGTGATGTTCCCTATAATTATTACATATTTCAGTATGTATTTACGGAGGAGGAGGACGACGTCGAGGTGTAAATGATGAGTATGTGATGTTCCCTATAATTATTACATATTTCAGTATGTATTTACGTTGGAGGAGGACGACGTCGAGGTGTAAATGATGAATATGTGATGTTCCCTATCATTATTACATATTTCAGTATGTATTTACGGAGGAGGACGACGTCGAGGTGTAAATGATGAATATGTGATGTTCCCTATAATTATTACATATTTCAGTATGTATTTACGGTGGAGGAGGACGACGTCGAGGTGTAAATGATGAGTATGTGATGTTCCCTATAATTATTACATATTTCAGTATGTATTTACGGTGGAGGAGGACGACGCCGAGGTTTTACTGTCACTGGAGCAGTGGGACAAACGTATAGACAAAGACAAGGGTAAAAGCAACGACACTATAGGCTGTACTGTGATGAAGGTATTTGTCGAATGTTATCACTACATCTGATATAATCGAAAATTTTACAAGTTGCATAAAAAAAATTAAAATCTATCTATGTATGATGTCAACACTTGCTAACACGATGTATGATTATAGTGTTATAGAGACTGTAGCGTTATAGAGTTTAAAGAGCACAAAACTTTATCTAATTTCTCTGTAGTCATCAGAATCACTATTTTATGTATGGTCCAGAAGGGACATTTCCAACTATCATCACAAATTAGGTTGTAACCGGCATTTTGGTCCCAAACCTTTCAATCCTCATGAGGTACAATACAACTACAGAAGTTTCTACACAGAAATGTTAGACCCGTCATGTATACAAAAGTTGCAATAAAAAAACGGGTAAAATGCAAGAATTTTATCTTTCCATTTCCTGGCTTCAGTGATTTAAATATAATAATTATCCGTGATATCTTTACAATGCTAATCTTTTAGTTCATTTTTCATCTTATTTATACAGCCAATATGGGGTCATCTTTAACGGGAATTAAAGAAATTCAAAATAACTGTATATCGGCATAAACCTAATCTAGTGATGATGATGATGATGATGATGATGATGATGACGATGATGATGGTGATGATGATGATGATGATGATGATGATGATGATGATGATGATGATGATTGATGTTTGATGATGATGATGATGATGATGATGATGATGATGATGATGATGATGATGATGATGATGACGATGATGACGATGATGACGATGATGATGAGGGAGTGGATGGATGAGTGAATGAATTAATCGATGTGGCGTTCACATTGCATTCTGTTCAATGTATGTCGGAAAGCTTTAAAAATAAAATAAATACAAAAAATAAAATTTATCTAGATTAATATTGCAACATTCAACCTGTGTAAGGCTTAGTACGCAACCTTAAATATATTACATTCCTTCGTTCATAACACAACTTTTCAGTATTTATAATATTTATAATATTTTTCAGACCGATCTAAACCGGAAGTACCGTATGCATGACCGCATGGACAGGGTGCATTCAGGTCCGTTCTCAAACGCGCGCGGTGTGTTCGCGCGAATTAACCTGAAGTCTGGAACATACTGCATTATACCATCTACATTTGAGCCAGGAAAGACGGGCAAATATTTACTTCGTGTCTTCTGTACAACAGCACCCATGTTGAGGTACGATCTTGCTTATTATGTACTCCGTTTTCTCGAAACATTATTCCATCAAACCTTACAGATCTTTAATATTTAAACCATAAAGGACTAATATTTAACCTCATTAGTAAACATTACTGGCTAGTATTGATTAAGTGTACCTTTTTAGGTCCAAACCTTGACGTCATTGACAGTCTGTTTTGCATCTTTCATCCCATTGCAGGAAAGTACAGTATTTCTAGAGATAGCGAGCCAAACGTTCAGAGAAAGCTGCTATAATTTACTGTCTGAGTATTATTTCTATCCGACAGTTAATTACTATTAGAAGATATATTGATGGCATTGTGTTTTGATATAGAGAACTTGTCGACGATGAGCCCCGCCCACCACAGTGCTGTGGCGTGAAGGGAATCAAAAAGCCCAAAGTAGCCGCTACACAAATAACGGTAGTACGAGCTGAGGCTCTAGAGGCGCAGGATTGGGACGGAGGTATGGTTATGTACAGTCATAACAGTTCAGATATAAATAAATTTCATATTTTTACGCTTTTTCTGGGGTCTCCGGTAAATCTTCCCTTTTGTCATTATTAAGCTTTATTTGATTTATTTGAATGTGGATTATGATAAAGTTAAAATGCTGTTTTTTCTCCTTTGTTTTTTTTATGTTTGTTTCTGCATTTTTTCTGAAGAGTAATCAACATTTTTTATTCAAAACCATTCGATATTTTAATCTCACTTTCGAGTATTGATGGCTTAGGCCATCGATTATTTCCCGGGTGGCAATTTATTTATACTAATGATTTGAGTGGTCAAAATTTGGACACTACAGATACACATCAGTGTAAGATTTGTTCGTTCCAAAAGAGACCAACGTAAGAAAAAGAGAGCGTTTGGTCCCTTTAAAGCGTGTTTGTCAACACATGTGGTTTCGGTTTAGGTTCTTCTTAATTAATTCTTAATTAAAAGGGCAAAATTATTGTTGTTTTTATTTTCAGTAAAGATTTATTATATAAGATTGTTCTAACTGCATTCTATTTATATTTAAAGTCACCTGAGGCAAAGCCTCACGTGACCAGTTGCGATCGTCTTTGTCCATCGTCGTGCGTCGTAAACAATTTACATTTTTTTATTAATCTAGAGTAGACGAATTTGTGAAACTGCTTCCGAAATTCAGTGTGGAGTTAGCACTCTAAAACCAATTTTCTGTGCATTAAGTCAACTCGAGCCAAATCTGTGATGGCCTATTAACTGCAACCAGCTCTTTCTTCTCTTGTACATCTCAAAACTATTGAACCAGGTTTTTTCATTATATGGTCCTCCTTCCCAGGTGTTGTATGGAATGAAACAATCTTCCGATGTAGGCATGTAAAATCAAACACATGTACTCTTCGTTAATAAAACAAGTGCTTAACCGAACTTGTGGATTCCTTGGCTCCGCGGTATTGCAGCTCCCATCTAGGGAAGGAGCTAAGTTTACAAAGTTCATTTATATGAAACTTCACTATTTTACCATGCTTCGAAATAGTAAATCCTGTCGGTCTTTAGCCTCGGTATTTCATCCCACCACACCCACCCACCAACCCCCGCGGCATATAAAACTTTTCTGTACACTTTAGAATGATACATTTGAGTATCTGTCTCATTTTCAATTGGAATTACAAAACGGGTTAGAATTTCGTAGTCAAGAAGGTTCAGTATTTAGAAAACTTAAGTTCAGGGCCGTAAGAGTTGGATTTGTCCAAATTTCTGCAATGTCCTTTAAATCCACACTTGCTACAGACAATACTCAGCAGGCTTTAATCTATATGCTAGATATTGGATAAGGCAGTTCGTTAAATTTATGTTTTTCATTTGTTAAAAACAAAAATATAATCAACTCAGGTGATCATTAAGGCCTATGGGACCTTTGATATCATTATTTTCTATCACATTCACGGTTCGGATTATAAACAAGTATCTATAATTCAGTTACAGACATAATGATTTTAGACTTTATACATTATACATTACATAGTAACAGGGGTTTTCCCAAATCAAACAACGATCATGATATGAAGACAATGGTCACAATATAAAAATCAGCTTTGTGGTATTTATTTACACTGATATATTTTGTGTAATCAATATTTGTGTTCTGTGTGTCCTTTGTTTACATTGAGAAGATGAAGTTCATGTAATCAATATTTGTGTTCTGTGTGTTCTTTGTTTACATCGCGAAGACGAAGTTCGTGTAATCAATATTTGTGTGCTGTGTGTCCTTTGTTTACATCGCGAAGACCAAGTTCGTGTGTCCTTTGTTTACATCGCGAAGACGAAGTTCGTTTGTCGTTTGTTTACATCGCGAAGACGAGGTTCGTGTGTTCAATATTTGTGTTCTGTGTGTCCTTTGTTTACATTGAGAAGATGAAGTTCATGTAATCAATATTTGTGTTCTGTGAGTCCTTTGTTTACATCGCGAAGACCAAGTTCGTGTGTCCTTTGTTTACATCGCGAAGACGAAGTTCGTGTGTCGTTTGTTTACATCGCGAAGACGAGGTTCGTGTGTTCAATATTTGTGTTCTGTGTGTCCTTTATTTACATTGAGAAGATGAAATTCATGTAATCAATATTTGTGTTCTGTGTGTTCTTTGTTTACATCGAGGAGATGAAGTTCGTGTTAACAGTATTTGTGTTCTGCGAGTTGTTTGGTTTACATTGAGAAGGTGAAGTATTCGTCTGATCAATATTTGTGTCCTGTGTGTTCTTCTTTGTTTACAATGGCACGGTAAGGTGTTTGTGCGGGTAATATATTAAGATTTGTTGTATTTTTCCTACAATGAGAAACTTGTAATGTGATATACCGATTTGTTTTCCTTTTGATTTTCTTAGCTGCAGATCCGTACTGCGTGATACATTGTAACAAGAAAAGTCAGCGGACTAAAAGCATCCCGAACACTGTTAATCCGGAATGGAATGAAAGAGTGACATTTTATAGACAAAAACCGAACAAGGACATCCGTATAGAGGTGAGAGATTCCTCGATAAAACCAACAATGCTGTCAACTGAAGTAAACAACAAATAGTCAGGATTTAAATCAGTGACCTTCAGATTGATTCGACATATCTATGAGAGATGAAAAGATCTATTTTAAACATACATATATGCGCGATTAACAATAAGGGTTGATAGTTGTCGTAGCTCTGTACTGAACATCTAAAACAACAACCATAGAATTTATATATAAGGTTTGGTTAATACCGCCTTCTAACACAGTAATTTTCTGTAGTATAAAAGCTGTTATTGATAGCCTGCTGTTTAAGGCTAATGAGGAAATGTACCACGACACTTATTTTATAACATGCTGGTATTTTGTCCAGGCCATTGATTCATTCATTCGAACAGTGCCATATTTCATTCGGAATGTGCACATGTACTTGACGTTCTTCTTAGGTTATCAGATACAGTAAAATGGCGACATGCATGGAATAATGGCCTAGTGCAACTGATTTTGATATTAGATTTTTACCATTTTGGTTTTCCTTAGTCGCCTCCCAGGTTTCAAAATTTAGAAACAGCATCACTGTCGAATCTTATAAGTTCGAAACAGTTGTATGATACCAATTTATTATTTGGCACAATGTATCTAATTTAAGCTATTTACTTTCGGGTCTTTTGTACAACCTCTAGATTACAGGTTGATGACACTGCTTGTGAACATTTAGTGATCGAAATTCGAATCGTGGCACAGAACACCTCTCCTTATAAGAGTTTACCATCTATCTTTATCACTCTAGATTTCCCTCCGCCTGCTAGGTTTGATTATGTAGACCCTTAATATCAGTGCACAAGTGAAGAAGGACGAAACAGCTCTATGGTGCAATTTAATTCATTGTTTTGCTTAATTATATTTTATTCAAAATTTGTATAAACGTTTTTCACTTGCATTTATTTTGTACAATCTTCCCCAAAGACAGTGATAAAGTATTTTAAATCTACAAATTTCCGTATAAGTTACATACAAGTTGTAAAACTGTCGTACAGACAGATTCATCCAGTGATCGATATAGAACAAGTAAGGGAAGTCAATTTATTCTATTGTATTCAGTTTACATTGTCTGTGTAAGTGTCTTCTTTCGGTAAACCGTTTGTTGTGATGTTCCACATATATCTTTGTTATCGCCTCTTAGTTTACGGTCAATGTAACAGTAAACTAACATCTGTCTTCTTTAAACACATTCTCTTTAAAGTAAACCGTTTGTCGTGATGTTCCACATATATCTTTGTTATCGCCTCTTAGTTTACGATCGAGCGATCAATGGTCTCCCTAGCACAGTAAAATAACATCTGTGTATCTAAACTAATGAGTTCTTTAAACACATTCTCTTTAAAGTTAGAGAACGGGAATATTAAACAAAATCTTTTTGAAATTGAATAAAAAAGATGTATTGAAATTCACTTCAAAGGTGATAATACACTAAGAAAAAGTGTTATGATAAGTGATAACAACACTGTGCTGTTCTACTGTGTTTTAAAATGTCCTCCCTCTAGACTACTGTGTTAGTAAAATGTCCTCCCTCTAGACTACTGTGTTAGTAAAATGTCCACCCTCTACACTACTGTGTAAGTAAAATGTCCACCCTCTAGACTACTGTGTAAGTAAAATGTCCACCCTCTAGTCTACTGTGTTAGTAAAATGTACACCCTCTAGACTATTGTGAAAGTAGAATGTCCACCGTCTAGACTACTGTCTCAGTAAAATGTCCACCATCTAGACTACTGTCTCAGTAAAATGTCCACTCTCTAGACTACTGTGTAAGTAGAATGTCCACCCTCTAGACTACTGTGTAAGTAGAATGTCCACCCTCTAGACTACTGTGTAAGTAAAATGTCCATCCTCTAGACTACTGTGTAAGTAGGATGTCCTTCCTCTAGACTGTGTAAGTAGAATGTCCACCCTCTAGACTACTGTGTAAGTAAAATGTCCACCCTCTAGACTACTGTGTAAGTAAAATGTCCACCCTCTAGACTACTGTGTTAGTAAAATGTCCACCCTCTAGACTACTGTGTTAGTAAAATGTCCACCCTCTAGACTACTGTGTAAGTAAAATGTCCACCCTCTAGACTACTGTGTAAGTAAAATGTCCACCCTCTAGACTACTGTGTAAGTAAAATGTCCACCCTCTAGACTACTGTGTCAGTAAAATGTCCACCCTCTAGACTACTGTGTAAGTAAAATGTCCACCCTCTAGACTACTGTGTAAGTAAAATGTCCACCTTCTAAACTACTGTGTTAGTAGTCGTCGATGAAGCAGAAGACACGCCCCCTACTCTCCCTGTACTTTTTCAGGAGTTTCCGTATTTATCGTTTTTTGTTTATAGTTTGCCCTAGTTTTATAGTTTGATTTACGATTATGATTACGTTAACATGTTGGTATTTTCTTGTTGTTTTACTATATGTGTCTTTTGTATATTTCTCATTAACAATGCTTTAGGCTAAGTACATGCGTTGATTCAATTTTTCCACTTCAGGTTTGGAATCACAATATCATCAAGGACGAGTTCATGGGTGTTTGTGTGCTACCAATGTCGGAGAAGAATTCTTACAGGGGAGGTAACACTATAAGGAGATTTGACCTTACGGGCCGAGGAAAAGATAGCACAGTGAAGCGTCGAGGTTATCTCTGGCTAAAGGTGTTACACAGTGGAGACATGACACAAGTGTAATGTTTCTACTGGTGGTGAAACATCAAATACAATTAAAACTGCCTTGTTCACGATCCGATCATGTATTGATTAACGCCTTATGTTACAGCAGATCTCATTTATATGACAAACGTTGATTTAAATATATTTATTTACACACAACACTCAGAGTACTACGACAAACGAGGTGAAGGAGAAATCGTCACAGTGATCTGTTAGTATTAACAAACACGGCTTCACGGAGCATTAATGCAATGTCTCGGTCGCTTTTATCCACATTTAGAGAAATGAAAAGTTTGTTTTCCTTTACATTGTATATCCTAACAATGTAGGTATCAGTTTTAAATACTGACACTACAAGACTATTTTCACGTCAAAGTACTATATACTGAAATAATGTGTAATCATACCATGTATGAATCACGTGACAGTGTTACAGTTACAATAACAAGCAGTAGTGAGATATACGTGCATCACGTGTCACTAATATTTCCAGTTACTGCCCTTTGATACGTAGACAAGATGCCCACTATAACGGGGTTACTTTCATATGCATCATGTGATAGTAACGGCATATTTATACAATTATCCATCAGCATCTTAACAAATTGTCCTTGTGATTTAACAACTCGCATTGTACTGGCTTATGGAATATTGTACAACATACAGAATATTACTCAATCTGTATTTATAAAAAAAAGTTAATTTCAGTTTAACATCATCGTTTTGATAAATATTCTACATCAAGAAGTTTTTCAATTAGAACAAAAACGTAAGTAAAATTCATGAATGGTGTACAATATATCTTTAGAGGATGAGACATCCTATTGGCATTAACGAAGTATCAAAGTTAGGCGTAACTTGAACAATGTAAAGTGTAGTGTAAAAGGTGTGACATATACTTAAACGTTAAAGTATATACTTTATCATCTACAGTTGTGGACTATATTCAATCGATTAGTTGTCGACGTCATTATGTGATAAATTATTCAACAGATTTCAAGAATGTGTTGCATGAATTATCACCACAAATTATGGATTGGAAATTCGTGAATCCAGAAATCGAACACCATTTTCCTTTATTTAAGATTCCAACAGTAATTTTTCGGTTTGTTTCATGACCTTGGATAGCACAATTTAAGGTTGTCTGACCTCAAGGATTATGTGATACGGAATTGTTTAAATGGGTCCAAAGGGGACAATTTATATGATGTTTAAACGTGTTCTGTCATTCTATAGAACTGTAATGGCGTAGTGATACTGATAGCTTAGTATTTAGTTTACGAATTTAAAAGTGTTAATTTTCTTTTTAATATACGAAAATGCGTCCCTCGTGTTCCCTTTCATAGTCTCGCGGATGGGTCAGTTGATACAGGAAGTAAACATTATTGCCTATGTCCAACGTTCATGGACATAACTGGTTCAAATTTGATTTATAATGAGTCTTTGTATGTGGAACTGACCTGCTCCTCAAGTGAGTGTGAGGATATTTCAACTATCAAAATAGTTTAAATAGGAAATATACGTGGTTGATATTACGAGTTCCAAAATTATTAAATTTTGAAAATTGTATATTTCACGTGTTTCACAAGACTACATCAGGATTTTTGTCAGGTAACCGTTAAGGACTACAGGCCCTTTAGGCCTCTTGTTTTATCATTCTGGTATCGGCCATTACCGTTTAATGAAAAAGAAATAAAATTGACCCTAAAAACAACTTAAGTCTGTTATTCTAAAAATAAATCAGAAATATTTGGACATATGTAGGGTATGATGATGTACAGTAACATATTCATTTTTGTTTTTCAAAAAAAGAATCTAAGAACAAAAGTGAATGTTGGGAGCTCTGTGCTGCCTGACGTTCATACGTTTTTAAACTGTTTCTGTACCCAATTATCAGTGACGTCATTAAGACAGTTGTTATTTAGGAAAATAATCCTAGTTATATTTATCAACATGCTGTCGTGTAAAAACGAAAATAGTACGACTGGCTCATACTAAAAAACAGCGTTAATATTCCAGCTCATTGTGATAGGTAGTGTCAAATATGAAAGCATGCGCAGAGACAATATATTTTGACGTTTGTGTATCACGTGCTCAAGGAACAATGCTATTGGCTACATATCAGGATATATTTTATTATCCATTAATTGCTGTGCTTGCTACCATTTTTATCTAATAATTATTTTATAGCAAATCTCTTATTTTATAGAGATTGGCTTCAGCATCTTCGATGCTATCCTGTGTATCGCTTTTACAAGTAATTATTGCGTATTTACACATTTTGTAGAATGTAAAGAGATTATATATACGTGTGTTTCATTACAAATTATATACTTAATTGATTTCTACAAATATATGCCGTATTAATGGTTTAATTGATTGCGCCAACTTGCCATTTTGTTTTGTAACACCACTGCGTAATTGACCTACACTGGTGCCGACTCCCGGGTCAGAGCAGAATGATATTAAATTCCGATCGTTACGTTTTATTTAGATCTATATCAAACTGGGTTTTTTTTTCAATGCATTCAATATAAGAAAGTTTGTGTTGTCAAAATACACTATTTTGTCCAACATTTTAGGACATATGTTTAAGTTGTTTAGTTTGGGATCCTGTTGCTTAGTGTAGGGGCATTGCCTTCTTCTAAGGTTTATTTATTACACATATTGTGATAACAAATATTAGATTTTATTAGAATAGCGTGATACATATATATTTATTTTGATGAAGAGCGTTATATGTATGGTATAGGTAATATGTTGGAATCCATAACGAATTGCGTGTAATGTAAGCTGTCTAACCAATGATTTATCGAATTTAGTCATTGCTACACGATCATAACTATGTAAGATATTATCATCATTGATGCTGTTGACGACGATTTTGCTTTTTTTACATTCTTATTAAAACTATGCAATTTAATACCAAGTTTTTCCTCGTTATATCTCATCACATCACAATACGATTTTTTCTTTATGACATAAACTAAGGTGACCATATTGTTTCGCTGAAAACACAATGTTTCTGAAAATATTTTGTCTTAATTTAAAATTTCGTCATTAAAATACACTTTATATAACACATAACATAGATAACATGACTCATACTGAAAAAAGGCTGCATTCCAAATATCGTATTGTCTTTCTCTTAAGTTTGTTGTGTAATAGGTAAAGGTGAAGCAGTGACATTGCTTGTCAGTTCTAGCTGAATTAAGTGTTGAATCAACGAATTTAAATCGAGGGTCACAACTATATAGAGAATTACCTATGAAAAAAGTAAAATCATTGTAAAAGTCAAAGGATTAGAATTAAGTATCTATCAGACTTGCGTATACTGGAATTAAAAGTTTAAATCATACTGTTAAGGAATCCTTCAATTATGTGGCTAATGTACACGTGGTTTGCCGTAACCCTTCCTGTTGCATTTTGGTATATAATCAAACATGGATTATAACTTTGGCGACTCCACCTTGTCAGTTGTCCATGCATATTTCAATCTAATTTCATTTTCTTGTGTCGGGTCCTAGATTTCATTACTTTACAGCTCTAATATCACTGACGAGTTCTAAAAGGACGAAACAGCTGTATGATGCAGCTTAATTCAATATTTGGCTATGCCATACCGGAATCAAAGTTTGTATTGATAAATGTTAACTTGTGTCTTTTAATCGATGTTTAAATAGACTTACTAAACAACATGACGGTTGAGTAAACTAACAATCAAAACACCATTGTTATATTTAAAAATATATGTAAATTCGTGAGTGTTTTCTTGCTTAACACAAAACGATTCATCTTACCAAACAACTTCTATTTGCTAACTTATGTGAGAATTCTGGAAGTAAGACGTTGTCAGATTTATTACATTTAATCAAGCTTACCATTGATGTTTACCAAGTATTTTGGCGAAATAAATACATTTAAGTGCAACTTTTTCCTCCTAACTGACTTCTATCATGAGCTTAACACTAAGCCCAATCTACAGAAGCAACAGATGGGTATTTTTGGGAAACATTGAAAACACAGGCGCTCGACGTCGGTAGTCAAGGAATAATATACCAACACCGCTATGGTATAGTAAAGCGCTAATCGATGTTCTGGTAAAACCTAGCACGGCAAAGTAACACAGGCGCTCGACGTCGGTAGTCAAGGAATAAGATACCAATGCTACCATGGTATAGCACAGTGCTAATCGAAGTTCTGGTAAACATTAACACAGCAAAGTAACACAGGCGCACGACATCGGTTATCAAGGAATAAGATACTAACGCTGCTTTGGTATAGTACAGCGCTAATCGAAGTTCTTGTAAACACTAGCACGGCAAAGTAAACATGGTAACTATTTGTTATAAACCTGTCACTTGTGAAAATAAGAAATTAATGACAACATTCATTCAAAAGAATCCTAATATCAAATATATGTTACATTCATTCAGTTTACCGATCTGTATTATATAATTGGGACCGAAAACCTCGAAGAAACTTCACAATTAACAGCAAAATTGTAATCAAATGAAAAAAATGTTTGGCGCAATTTCTTGCACAATTAACTTTTTTTCAATTCAACATATCCGAAGGTCGAATAAAGTAATCTATAAAATTGTCAAATAGATATATATATATGTCATTGGCGAGGAGACAAAATGTATACACTGCGATAGACATAAACACAAGTAAAATGGTTAACTATTAGATATACCCACCGTAATACAAATTGCTTAACATAACGTATACTAAGTAGAACTAAGTTATCTAAAATTTATCATTTTCATTTCCGATTTAAAGTAATAGAGTGAATAGTTGAAAAAATTGTCAGAAAAATTAAGATAATTTACTAGGATTAAAATAATTTTGAGCTACTAGATCGTAACATCCGATGAAGTACTAAAAAGTAAATTAACATGTTTTAACAAAAATACATTGTCACTGTAGTTTCTTCTACTCTCCATGATTGGTAAGTGAAAATGGCGACATATCTGTAAATAGGAAATGTTGTTATTATCATAATTTGGTTTAAAACATAATTTTTTAAGAACTTTTTTTACACTGCTTCAAACTGGTGAATAACAATGGATTGGTATGGTGACCACATTTTAACACAGTGTTCCAGTTGACTACAAATCATACTTATATACAGAGATCGCATTATGGTGTATTTTAAAAATCCAGTTAACACTGACACACATCTAATGAGTGTGGAAAAGTTAAGATTTAAGTCGAGCCACACACCTATATATTTAACACATGTTTTCTTTTTATTACTTTTTTCAATCTCCATTCGTAATCTTAACTTATTTAAAAATAAAAACTAATGTAAAAACATTTCTTAATATCTACAGACATCTTCCAGGTATAAAACCAACCATAAACTCAGTCCATGTCTGACAACAATGGGAATATTACAATCAATAATAAAATATGTTTCCAGATGTTTTCCCAGCCATTCCTCTGATTTAACGCCCGAGCTGTCCCGTTATAGATTTGTCGATAACATATGGATAACGTCAAGATATTGGGACACTACTGTAGTGTAAACTTAAAATAACCACCATTATATACATATGATACGTACTGACAGAGTTAGAAACATTTTGTGTAACATTTCTCAGAGATGATGCTGTGGTCATTGGTTATCACAGTGATACTGATGTCATGTAAGGTTTCGCCAAGACCAGTGGTGACAGAATTAACAAGTAAGTGTTATCATG